AGCATTTCTTGCAGGTTAGACAGCTGCACCAGTCAGGCGCCCAGAGCTTGACTGCTAATTTCACTGAGAATCCAGTGGCCCCCTTTTCTGTCTTTCACCTCGGGCCCCAAAATCACTAAATCCGCCCCTGTGGATCAGCAGAGGGAGCACTTTAAAGCAGCTGAATGGGTCTTTTTGGTCATATACAGTGCAGATATACAGTGTAATTGAATGCATTTCCAGTAGGAAGCAGTAATGCTCCTCAGAGTGATCTGCCACCATTAGCAAACAAGAAAAAGAAGAAGCTGCAAGGTCAGCTGATCAGACTCGTTAGCAGCACTGGACTCGACTGAAATCTCTGACCGGCAAAGACCATCAAGAAAACACCACAGGTATTGATAAAAACGCGTATTTCTTACAAAGCTCGGCCATTTAAGTCTCATTTGCTTCCTGCGTTTTGTGCCGTTGAGAATGCTTGGTTAACGGTTAGCTACTGTGTCAGCAGTTGGGTGGTTAGCGTTAGCACAATTGCTTCTTTCTAGATGGTTCCATTATCACCGGCCACCTGCCTCTGACTTTTTTGTTTGTTTATTGGCTTTGGGGCCAAATAAGTGAGTATTGTTGAGCTTCCTTAATGTTAAAGATGGAATATATACAGCGGAAATATACATTTGTGGTTTAGAGTCTCAAGCCTCTCAGAAAACGAAGTTAAGTTAGCTAACGTTAGCCAGCGCTGCTAACCTGCCGGTCACACTAGCTAGATACACTATCATCTTTGTTAGCTTCTGAGCTTAACTTAACGCCGTTATCTGAAACATATAGGTGTAAAAAATATTTAATTTTAATTTGGCGGTATATTTCATTTTTATGTGTACTGAGCAAATTCTCATTTAGTTGTATCATCTGTTTAATGGGCAGAGAAACCGAAGACTAAAGAATAAGCACGAAGCTGAAGTCAGCTTCCTATTAGCCAGCTTCTTGTTTAATTTCCCCGTTCCACCTTAAATGGAGCGTACTACACTATTTAAGGTGGAACGGGAAAATAAATACAATAAGCTGGCGAATAGGAATCCTCGTCAGACGAGCTGCCAGTTCAGTAGCCAGACGTTTGCTCACAGTTTTGTGTTTAGCCATTGGCTGTTGTACGACTGTTAGTGTGGGTGAGCTGTTCTGTTTACTACCAACATAAATTTCACTGACTAGTCTCTAAAGTTATAACTTTTCTGAAACAGCTTAAGACCTGTTCAGCTGAAAGTCCCACTGCAAAGTCTCAGATTGAAACAATTCATTTGCTGTGAAAACTGGATCAGAAACCAATGGCCAAAAATAGCTGTTGTTCTGATGTATAGAAGTACAAAATATATAATTTCAGTAAACTGACAGCAGATTACATTGGTAGATTTTTTAACATCATGCAAGTTTATCCCCTTTGTGTCACTTCACCTATTTGTGAATTCCTTGGCCAGGACTGGATTTAATATTTTTGTTTTGTCATGTTTTTTTTAATTTTTTTTAGAGTGAAGATCAAAATTGTTTTCTGAAAGATGGCTGACACAGAGCAGCGGACGCCGCCGCAAACCGGGCCTGCGGTAAGTGGCACACTTGTCTGGACTTAAATTTTTGCTCATCTTGATCCTTGGAAGTAGTGAACAAGTCTTTGATTATTCAAAATCCTGATTATCAAATTAAAAAGCCTAGTGATACTTTTCCAGCTCGGAACAAATCCAAAATGGTCTCTTTCCAAGAATGCAATATTAACGTTGAGTTTTTTTTGTCTTACAGCAATTTTTATTGAGTAACAAACTGGAGACAGCAATGTGGCTCTCGCGGCTCTTTACAGTCTACTGCTCCATCATGTTTATTCTTCCTCTGCTTGGGTTAGTAATCATATCTGAACATCATCTTACTAAATAACATCTAACATATTATGAGAATGTTGAGGCAGGAGCACTAAGGCATGATTACCTCACCCAATATTGAACTAATCATACAGTTTGTAAAAGTTGAAAGCTTGCTAAGTTACTCCTCATGTTTCTTGCAGTCCCTTAGCAGCTGCAAATTTCTACCAGAGGGCACTCTTGGCCAACGCTTTGACCAGCGCTCTGCGCCTGCACCAAAGGTTGCCTCGTTTCCAGCTAAGCCGAGCATTTCTGGCCCAGGCTTTGCAGGAAGACAGCTGCCATTACCTCCTCTACTCACTCATCCTAGTCAACTCCTACCCCATTACCAGTATCCTTTTTTGACTACACCTCGACTGCCTTCCACTGGAAAAGACACTTTTATAGGCTCTAGCAGTAGAGAGAAGTAAATTGTGAAATTGTTGTGAAATATCTGTGAATCATGAGTCTGTGTGAAAAGTCTGTCCTTAACTAAAGTTTTCAGTGAGCATATTCCCTGTGTTCCTCTTCTCTCTGCTTCATGCCACAGCTTACACTAAGAAGGTTCTTGATGTAAGTGTCTTTAATCATCACTTACCCTACAAAAGAGCTTTTGATCTTAGTACTGTAACATGTACACTGGTATTATGGAAATAGATCTGTGGAAAATGATCAGCATGATGTCATAATTTTTTTATATATGTATATTTTTTTTTTCTTCAGACAATGGGGCCAAACAGTCTTCTGTTTGTGAGGAACTTCCTGAACAAGCTCACAGCCAATCAGCAGAACATCCTCAAGTTCATTGCCTGCAATGAGATTTTCCTGATGCCAGCCACTGTCTTCATGCTCTTCAGGTAGAGATAAGATATACATTTGTCTTGCTTATAGCACTGATGTCTGCTATGTCTGAAACATTCACTCAGATATACACACAGAAAAAATGAGCATGATATTTTGAAAGGGTTGAACCCTTTCAAATAAACAGCCATGTGTTGCCTTTAGCACTGAAATCAGTTAAGCTTTTGTTAAACATAAACAGTTAAATAGTTAACCATTAAAATTTGGTGCATGTTAACAAACTATGTGTGACGTTTTTGTGGGAACTCTTGTTCCTGTTGACCTAGTTAGTTATATTTGTAATCTTTTTGACACCCACAGATCAGTTGCATGCATTTTAGTATGATCTTATGAATGACCTCTGTTTGATCTCTACAGTGGACAGGGCAGTCTGCTGCAGCCTTTCATTTACTACCGGTTCCTCACTTTGCGTTACTCCTCCAGACGAAATCCCTACTGTCGGTAAGTGTTCCCTTTTCTTGCTCACATATTCATTCAATGTTTTGTGGCCCAGGAAATTAGAGAGCTGGCATATTGAAATTACAATATCATTTATGAATGCCATAATTACATAGCGGCATCATATGTTTGTGGTCTTTTTTTGTCAGGACCCTGTTCACAGAGTTGAGGATTTTGTTAGAGCATTTTGTGATGAAGCCTGCCTGCCCTGCCTTCTTCAGAAGAATGTGCCTCAACAGCATTGCCTTAATTAGCCGCCTGGCCCCGACGGGAGTCTAACCACCCTGTTTCTGTATCAGCACCCACAGTCACACACTGGTGTATATACAAACACTCATACATACATGCACACACAGATACATACAAATACAAGCTCCTACAAAATGAGCAGGTAGGAGGGAGTTGCTCCAAGATAGAAGCAGGCTGACAAAGTCTCTGAAAAGTCAGAGGTGGATCCCCTGCGATTGTCTTCTTCTGCATGGAATGCAGTTACTATTTTTGGAAAGACTCCACTAATAAGAGTGAATCTAAGACACGGAGGAAAGAAAGAGCAGACACATCACACTAGAAGACTTGCTGTTGCACTCAGTGCATGCTAAAGTCAGCACTGCTCTTTGGTTAGTGCTTTTGAAAGATTATTTATAAACGGCTACTATGTATGTATGTTTTTCTTATGGGGTTGAATGAAAATATTTAAGCTTAACTTAGAGTAAATAATTGCTGAGTAGATATTGTTTATTAGATGTCCCCATGCAGGGAAAGAGATTGTCTCATTATACATGTATTTCAGTTTGTTTCAATGAACCATTTTTATGATTGTATAGTATGTTTGTCTTGAGCCGGATTACCTCAAAATCTAAATGGTAACCTATTGTATTTCATTTTAAAAGATTAGATCAAGATGGAGAGGAACAATGCATAATTATCACTTGTTTAGATCTTTTCACCCCCCAAATTAATGGACCATCTTTAAGTGTTTAAAGGTGATTAACTATTTACCACCAAACCTGCTGACCTTTAGTAGAATATTGCTTGCCTTGAATGTAATTTGTTCAAAGTGCATTTTTAAGTTTTGTTCCTAATAAAAAGAATTTGGCTCTCTCCTTGCTCATGTTATTTTCTCTCTTAACTACCATGTTTGTGTATGTGAATTAATTCAATAAATGTAATTTAATTGAAATAAGTTGTGTATTGTACCTTACATTATTTTTAGTATGTCACAAAAATGTCATTGCTAGAAGCAACTATTTGCCTATAGTTGTATGCAGAAATAAGGGAAAGATCTAGGGTAACATTTGTGTACAGAGGCAGCTTTAAGCTATGAAGTGTATTGAACTTTACAACCATTAAAAGAAACACTTTCAATGAAAATCCCTGCATACTTTCCATTCCAGTTTGATTCCTAAACTAAGTGACCACACTCAATAAACTGCATAAATTGCAAGTGTAAACATTTCAATGGGCTGGCTGTTGCACTAGAAGAGCCACAGTGTGGACATATCCCAGTAGGAATTCAAGTGTTAATGAAACAGTTGAGCAGAGCTTAGATTGACACTGAAAACATAAGTATAGACAAGTGCTATGTAGTGTGCAGAAACCACAAGTCTATTTGAGATTATTCAGGGTTTATGGCAAGTGTTATTCTCATACCATTCAAAAGATCCTAACTGGCAGTATATGCTTCCATTGTTAGCTAAAATCACAGCTCTAATTCACAATTTTTTGGCTGACCAACATTTAGAAATTTGTGCCAATTTGCATTTCTTCATGTATTTAAGTGTAATGTGCACCACTAGAACCACAATCAAGTCAATCTTCAAAAGACTTCACACTCATGAGCCAGTATTATGCACACCAGTGGCAAGGTTTATTTAGATGTCATCTCAGGACAAACACATTTTTACTCTGAAATGTGTAAAGACACCACTGGAGTCAGTTTCATAAAAAAAATGAAAAAAAATCAAAACACAGCTTGATTACCTTCTGTACAAAATCTCTAGGTACATCAAGCATAAAAACAGCAATCCTACAGGACTGCACATAAAAATATACATGAAGCACTAATCATCTCACCACATACCCAATACAAAGGCTATGGTGTCCATTATTGGAGTTGAGGGAATATGCAACATTAAGAATGTATACACAATTCCTGTTAGAGTCTGTAATCTGGGAGTATAAAACCAAGCTGGGGAGTTAGTTCAATACCAGCCTCTCTGGGGGTTCAATGAGTGAAACTTCATGGTACCTAGAGGAGAAAGTCACCGGTCAGACCAAAAATATTTTAGATCTTAAATTCACAGGACAACACTAAGCAATATGCATATTTGGCTTACTTTGAGCCTTTGTATTTCTCCCTGACAGACTGCTGTGCATGCTGGGCAGCACTGAGGTAGGTCTGATGTAGATCTTGGACACATGGCATCAGGTCTTCCAATGTGTAGCCAGTCATCTCAATGAGAGCCTTTGACTGGGAGATTGAACACAAACATAATCCATGACTGAGGAATGCATCCAAGTTATTCAATAAGTTTCACATACGCATTTGTGCAAACTTACCCATGAACCACCTGTGATAGTGTAATTTGCCAAAATAAAGGCTGCAGCAGCTGTTTGAGATGGAAGATACTTCAAGAAAGGGTCAGAATCCACTAAACTCAGCTCTCCAAGAAACTGAAAGAAAAGGATGTGTATTTAAGTTTATGCAAAATCCAAGTGACTCCACTCACCATTGACAAGCTCTCCACCTTATTTCCGACACGCTGCCGTAGGAAGTACTGGGTGAGAAACTGGTTGATCGTCGGCGCCGCCAGATCAAAAGAGAGGACTTTTAGCACCAGATGCTCCATTTTTAACACTTGTTTCTTCGTATAGGTGTCGTCAGTGATGTAAACGAATTCGGCCACCTCTGGGGGGTAGATCTCCTCAAATTTCCTGTAGTAAGATTGAAAAACTGTTAGTGCTGAAAACAGGGGAAACAAGAGAAGAGTAGAAAGAAGCTAAACTTACGATGCCAACAGCATTGCCGCTGTGCCAACGAGTTGCAGCTTCCCTCTCAGGACAGACATTGAGGACAGGAAGCGGTCGATGTAGTTTACTGCCAAGTATAGAGTCTCATTATGGAGCTTGTATTCCTCTCCGACCTCCACCAGCCAGTCAACCAGGATGGCACGCATACTGTTTGTGATATCTGGCTGCTTCCTCATATATCCTGCTTTTGGCCTACATTTAAGCTGAAGAGACCAGAATTACTACAGGCACAGGACATTTACCATAAATGGATGTTTTTGTATTGTAAAGACCCATACCTCCATCTCCCTCAGATGTGTATGAATTGCACCAGCGTAGTCAGCAACTTCATTTACGTTCACCGGCCTCTCCTCACCCTCAATTATCGACATGTCCATTGGAGAATCTAAAAAGAGATGTGTTAACACAATATATTCAAGACACTCCCTAGAAGAGTACAGCGCATGCTGGAAGTCACTTCACATACCAAAACTGAGATCCATAGGTAGGTCAATAGTAGCAAGGGGCTGCCTTAACCGTGTAACTGTGGGATTCAGTGTTAGTGGAGAGCAAGCCATGGCGGCTTTTTTTGTGGAGGCTTGTTTCTTCGTGCAGGCACCATCAGGTTCATCCACATGAATCTGAAAAGCAGGCTGCTTGGCTGGGGGCTTCTCAGCATAGCTTTTGCCATGGTCTTCTGATCTGCAGGGCAGTGCTTGGGATACATTGGCCTGGAAATGAGAATGAGGAAGACATTCCAATGAGAGTCTAGGATAGGAAGACAACAGTAACAGTCTGCATTAAAGCAATCAAGTTAGTTAAGCCACAATGAAAAAATAAAAAAAATAAAAAGGTAGACAACCATAAGTTCATGCAATCTAAAAAAAATAATAATAAAAAAAAAATAATAAAAAAACCTCACTGTAGCTGTGTGTGGCTACATAAGTGCTTAACAAGTTAGCTACCTAGCTAGCTACATGACAAGTTGGCCAACTAGTAGGGAGAGCTGGAAGCCCAGTGCAGCTGCTAAAATGGCGGTCTGGGACAATAAGGGAGGAAACCCGGGTATTTAAAACTGGTAACTTACTAAACGACACCAGACAACATACTTAGTCAAGGTGTCTAAGGCTAAACTACAAGAGAACGCGATTAGTCATTAAATAGCGTCTAAATTTAAGCGTAAATGTGGGTCTATCCTACACACGGTCTAGCTGGCCAGTGCTAAGGAACCCTAGCTCAAGTTAGCCAAAACAGCTAATCAACAATGGCTAATTAAAATTTAAAGTCTTAAATTAGGAGGTGAACACTTCATTGACTTAAGCACCAAGAGAGGGAAACGTGGCTTTAGAAAAGCACTGTTAGCCATGCTAAGGTTGCAAGCCTGCCCTTGCTAAGTGGCTACATTTCCCCGTTCCACCTTAAGTGGTGCAGCAGTTACATTACGGAGCCTCAGGCGCGAGAATGTAACTGCTGCACCATTTAAGGTGGACCGGGTAAAGTCGAACAAGAAGCTGATTTCAGCCTCTTAAGTTAGCAACCGACCTGTTTACAGCCGCGCAGGGCGGGCTGCCGCCGTGGGTTGTTCTCCAGAGCCCCCAACACAGTCCTGCCGGACGGTTTGGGGTTTACATTCTCCTGGTTCTCCAGCCTGTTCTTGGCGGCACCTCGCAGAGAGAGCCGGTTCTCCTGGTTCCGGACTGAATCAGCTTCGCTGGTGTCGACCGCGATTCCGTGCGAGGACATTGTGCAACGAGCTGGTCAAAAAACTCGGCCTGCAAGCGATAAAGACAAGATTGCTGATTTTTTGAGAAACTGATTTTCTTGCAGCGTTATATCCGGCAGCTCTGCTTGATTATCATAAAACACAAAGTTACATTGAGCGCCTGAATAAGAGAGCAGCCTCACCTACCGAGGGGGAAACAGAGCAGATTCGTTACTAAGCCAGACAAAAACAACAGTCTGTAAAGCAGCAGCGGCGGCGGCGGCGTCTTACGAATGTGCCGAATGTAAACAATGCGCAACAGAAGCCCAGAATGTGACTTAATTTAGAGAAAAGGCGCCATAATATTGCGCAGCACCGCCTAACACGCTTTAACCGGACCCCGTGAACCTCAACGCCGCCGCTCTCGGTTTGTTTCTGTCTCAGTTCAAGTAGCCCGCGACTATTGAAACCGACCAATCAGGATGCGGCTCAGCGTAGCGTCACTAATCTACGGCAACCGGGAAGGAGGAATCGCGAACCGTTGAGAACTCGGAGCGAGCGATTCATTGGCTCAGAGGAAATTTTAAAAAGAGAAAAGAGACAATGTGGACAATAGAGCATGTCTCAGAGATTTCAAGGCAATAATAATAATAATAATACTAATACTACTACTACTAATAATAATAATATATTTAATAATAATAAAAGAAAAAATATTTTATTTATATAGCACACTTTCGTGACAACCCAAGGTGCTTTACAGAAAATAAACAAACCAAATTTAACTGATAAAAATCCATCTAAAGGACAAAGACCCAGATTTTCTTAGAACAAAACAAAACGGCCTGACTACACCTACAATTTATCTAAAAAAAATAATGAAATGCTTTTTAAAACTTTTTAAAGAGCTCAGCATAACAAAAATGATAGCATTTCCATTGCAGATCTGTTTAATTCAAATGTATTAGTTGAAAAAACATGCATATATATATATATATATATATATATATATATATATATATATATATGCGTGTGTATGTGTGTGTTGATATATATGTGCGTGTGTATGTGTGTGTTGATATATACTCTGAGATTGCACTCAATCTTTAGTCTTTTCAGCGTTTGACTTTAGTCATGCTGCCACAATTTGTTAAAAAAAACAAAAATAATTCAGTAAAACAGGTCTAAATAAGTCCTAAAATTCTTCTTAAAACGAGATAAAAGTCCAAAATTTCTTAGAACAAAACAAAATTATCAGTATACACATCTTAAAATAAGTGTAGTCTTTCTAAAATTATTAAAAAGACAATATTGCAAATATTGCAACTTCAATTGCTCCAAAGTTGGGGCGCTGTGAAAAATGTAAATAAAAACAGAATGTAATGATGTGCAAATCATTTAAACCCTTTGTTGAAAATAGTACAAAGAACAACATATCAAATGCAACATATCAAAAGAAATTTTATTGTTTTTTGACCATTTTGCATTTGATGCCAGCAACACATTTCAAAAAAGTTGGGACAGTGGCATGTTCACCACTGTGTTGCATCACCTCTTCCTTTAACAGCACTCTGTAAGCGTTTGGGAACTGAGGAGACACTGCTGTATTTTTGAAAGTGAAATGTTTTCTCATTCTTGCTTGATATAGAATTTCAGCTGCTCAAAAGTTCAGCGTCTCCTTTGTCGTACATTTAGTTTCACAATGCACCAAATGTTTTCAGTGGTGACAGGTCTGGACTGCAGGCAGGCTAGTTTAGCACCCAGACTCTTTTACTAATGAGCTATGCTGTTGTAATACGTGCAGAATGTGGTTTGTCTTGCTGAAATAAGCAAGGCCTTCCCTAAAAAAGATGTCAGCATATGTTGCTCTAAAACCTTGCCATGTGTACTCTTGCACCCCTATACAATCACGGATGATGGCTTTTGAACTCTGTGCTGATAATAAGCTGAGTGGTCCCTCTTCTCTTTAGCCTGGAGGATGCGGCGTCCATGATTTCTAAAAAGAATTTAAAATTTTGACTCGTCGGACCACAGGACACTTACACTCTGCCTTAGTCCATTTAAAATCAGCTCGGGCCCAGAGAAGGCAAGGTTAAGTTTTAACTTGCATTTGTGGATGCAGTGATGAACTGTGTTCACAGGCAGTGGTTTTCATAAGTGTTCCTGAGCCCATGCAGTGATTTCCACTACAGAATCGTGTGTGTTTTTAATGCAGTGCCTGAAGATCACGGCCAGCCAGTATTGGTTCTCAGCCTTGTCCCTTGCATACAGAGATTTCTCCAGATTCTCTGAATGTTTTAATGATACTATGTATCGTATATCATGAAAAGCAAAAGTTCTTTTTTATTTTAGGTTGAGAAAAGTTTTTCTGAAATTGTTGCACCATTTGCCTGCTTAGTCTTTCAGACTGGTGAACCCCTCTCCATCTTTACTTCTGAAAGGCTTAGCCTCTCTGGGATGCTCTTTTATACCCAGTCATATTACTGGCCTGTTGCCAGTTTACCAAATTAGTTGTTGATGTCCCACAAGTCTTTTTTTTAAGCGCTACAGTTTTAGTCTTTTCTTACCCTGTTTCAACTTTTTTTAACATGTTACTGGCATCAAAATTAAAATGGATGTATACTTTTTAAAAGACAATACATTTTTTCTTTTTTTCAGTTTCAACATTTGATGTTGTTTTTGTACTTTCTTTTAATTAAATATAGGGTTTAAATGAATTGCACATCATAGCATTCTGTTTTTATTTACATTTTGCACAGCATCCCAACTTTTTGGAAATTTGGTTGTAGCACAGTCCTCTATTCTTTATTCTAAATGCACTCTCTCTAAAAGAGCAAAAGGAAATAAGGAAATATAGTAAATTGGTGTATTATGTTGCAAAAGTAGAGAAAACCCAATGGACAATAGAGGACATCCACAAAGGGGCAGGGCAGGAGACAGGATGGATTTAGATATTATGGGAGATAGGAATAGGAGACACTTCAAGAATGTCTTCTTCCAGTTTCTGCAATGCTTACTGGTGGATCTTTTGTAAGTTAGCAAAATATGCTTTTTAGTTTTAAAAGGATGGAATTCACATTCAGAACATATGGTATGCATGTCCCACATGACATAATACTGTCCCGTATTAAGTGATGTCCCATAATAATAGAATCCATCCTACATAACATGCATGTTTTTAATATCTCCTTCAGATTCCAGACTGAAATGAAATCTAAAACATGATAAATGCTACTTTCATTAATATTCTTTTGTATGATGCATGTTGTTGGGAATTTGTTTTACACATACAATATCAACCCTCTATTATGATTAAGAACATTTTTATTAGAGAAATAAACATGTTTTTCCACAAGGTATTTAATATGGCATCTGTTATTGTCTTCAGTTTTCTTTATATCTAAAATTGTTACAAATGGATATACAGCTTTTTGGAATTAAACTTTTCTAATGTAGATTTTTTAAAAAGTCATTTTAGTTTTTACAATTAATATTCTCTTAAATTTGGTTCAAATACGACTGAATGACACAAACAGAAAAACTATATAACAATGACTTGAGAATGAATTTATTGGACACAAATATGACCTAGAAGAATTGACGAAAATTAACAAATATGTCAAAAAAGATGACACAGTACTCACATCTCACCATCATTACATGATACAACACATCATGTATCTCAGTATACTTCTGTACATGAAAAAGTTCTACAGCAAATAAATATCTGAGAAAACTATTTACAATAAAACAATTACAAGTAACCAACTGAATCTTGACTTTTCTTTTCTTAAGCATCGTTGAAAAAATCCATCAGAGAATTCAGGTCATAGTTGTCTAATATTTCAAGAAGCTGTGAAACCTTTGTTTTGACATTCTGCCCTTTAAATTTGAACTTGTCAATGAAGAGGTCGGTTATCATGCCTGTAGGAAGACCACAATGAATTCATTAAAGAGTTAGATACATTTCTTCAAAAGATTTGAAGTCTACAAAAGTAAAAACGTCATTCATGCAAGAGTCATGGAATTAGCGTTACTATGTATTTGATATTTGACATTTGATGTAAATCCTATATGATTAATCTCACATAACATACAGACGTCTCTTACCATACAGTCGTTCCAGGTGAGCTGGCTGTTTCTTGTATTCCTCTAAAAGACGGGCAGACTCATCGAGTATACTACGATACTCTGGAATCAGGAAATCTGCATTCCCTTCATGCACCTGCAGCTCCTATTCAACACATATACACAATACTGTGCATCACACAAGCTTTAACTGAGCATAATGGTTCATTTATAAATCCACATTGCAGGTTACCTTTAAAGCATCAATAAGCTGAACCTTCTTGGCCAACAAGAGCTGATATTCGAGCTTAGGATGAATCATCTTCAGCGTATGGCTTACAGAATCTTCGTTCACTTCTAAAGCAAGGCAACAAATGACAAAAGAACATTATAGTAAAACTTTACATGTTAAATCGAATGACTTGAATACAGTTATATGCAAGATTTTGTGCACCCCTGATCAAATGTTGTTTTATTGATTTTCTAATTGAATACAAGTTAACATTCTCTACAGAGAACACAGTTCTGCACATTTTATTGCAAAAAATTATTCAAATTGTGCACTAACAATTTATGAAAATTCTATATTGAAGTTCACTGTAGAGGATGTATTAAGTTATTTTCACTCTGAAAATGAAACAAAAAAACATGCAAGTTGACTAAAGATATTCAAACATTTATATCACTGTTGTCGGAAGAAAACCTTCTACCTCCGTTTTTCAGTTTTTGACATAATTGGAAATGCCTGTGGCCCTTGACATTGTGTGTAAATTTCATGAAGAATGGACCAAAAGAAACGGCTCAAAATGACTTGGAAAAGTCTGGTTCCATTGACTTACATTAAAAGTAAAGTATGTTTTTTCCTTCTCATGTAAAGTTATCATTTTGAAGATTTTCTTCTAGGTTTTCTTCCAACAACAGCGATATATGACTGGTTATTTCTAAACCTCTTTTAATCACAATATATTAGAGTCACGTTCTTTAAAAAAATTCAATGGCTTTGTTTTTGTAAACTTCCCTAAACTGGAAAAAATCTGTTGAAGAGCTTTTTGTCTGAAGATATACTTACCATAAGAAATGTTCAGGTTGATTTTGCGCTTGGTGGCCTCCTTAGAGAGGACATCTTTGAGGATGGATATAGTGGAAATGTTATCTGATTTAAAGTTCCCTTCACCTTTGCTGAGTAAAAAAACAGCTAATTAAAATTCAAACTACATACAGCATAAAGTTATGATAGTAAACACATCAATGCCTTCTGAAAGGTGGTGATTCAGTGCAATCTGGAAGTGCCGATTAAACTGCATTAAGTTTGGAAAGTTAGAAATGATTATAATTAAATGAATCAAAATATTAATATCAGGTATTTAACTAGAATTTAACTGGGATTTAAAGGCTGAGATGGAGGAGTTTGTTCCACAGTTCAGTGCCACAACACTGAAAGATCTGGCACCCATGGAAGAGAGACGAAACTTTGGAGCTGTGAGTAAACCATGACTACAGGATTAGTAACTGGTAACCAGGCACTACGTGGTAACCAGCGCAAATTTTGAAGTACAGGGGGGATATATACACCTTTCACTGAATTTCATATCAACAATAAGTATTTGTAGTTCTGCAGCCGTAGGATCTTTCACCATATTTTCACTGTTCTGTATGCTTTACACCAATGTTTCCCAACCCCAGTCCTGGAGGCCCACCACCCTGCACTTTTGGCAATTTCCTTACTTTAACACACGATTCAACTCATTAATGGGTTTTTAATGAGCTGATTAGTTGTATCAGGTGTATTGGGAGCAGAGAAAACATTAAAACGTGCAAGACAGTGGGCCCAGGGTTGGGAACCACTGCGTTACACAAAGACTGTCAAGAGTTTAACTCTGTTCTGTCTACAGTGGACCTGGTCTTACCAGTAACTGGCTTCAAGTTGTGTTCCCAGAAAAGTGTTTTGAAAGTAGAAGGTGATGTTTTCTCCTGCTGGGGTTTTCTCTGGCACCTCAGGCAGGCAGAACACAACCCACGAATGGATCTCTGCAAAGCTGAACTGGCCCACCAACCGCAAAGTGTTCATGGGTCTGTAGACAGAACCAGACAAGAAGGGAGATTGATCATATGTGATATAGAGATATAGACATCATATGACTGATGACTGTGGTACCTGCATATGATGCTCACCTGTCCTGATCGATGCTGTGGGTCCTCTGGTGGAGGGACAGTGGTTTGATCTGGTACTGTCGGACCTGGCAGGTTTTGGGCTGCAGCCGTGGGGTTACGTAGGCCTGAAGAGTGCCGTACTGACCCTCAATTGACCTCACCTGCAAATTAATGGAAAATATGTGGTAGCAGTATTCATAGTAGGGTGTGCAGGAGTGAATGCAAACTTGTTAAAGTGTCCGACAGACTTAATTCATTAACTTTATTCTTCCTCAATTCATTTATTCGCTTTATTTTCCTTTACTTTAAAACCGTGGCACACCAGAGTCACCCACTTGTGTTCAGGACAGTACAGTTTAGTGCAGCCAAATAGACATTTATATTTAATTTGTTTGGACAAAATATTTTATGTTTATAATACATTGTATATATTGTTGAGCTAGGGTCAGATATTGTTTGGCTCATGTTGAGTTTCAGCTCAAAACCTGGACCAAAATCTAAAGCTCTAAGCATTATTCACACATTTGTTATACTGCATTAAGAGAAGTCGGGAAAAATATGTAAGTGAAAAAGAAAAATCTGGCAAAACTTTGACAGATAAGGCAAAAGCCTATTTAGTTTTTAGTTAAGCTACATCAGAAATGCTTATTCAGCAGCCTAAGTTATGCATCAGTTTACTATATTAGTGCATTATGAGTATAAATGACATGTGGCCTGTAACAAGGTTATGTGTTTACATTCAATAAAAATTTTACTGTACATTCAGTATTTCTCTTTATTACTTTATCAAACACAAACATGTGTTCATGTAATTGAAGGAAAGTTTAATTAAAGTGGGTAAATAAAGATTATATTTGTTATGCTATGTTGATTTTTCCCCCCTTTCCTGTGCTTAACCAAATATCCATTCATTAACTCTTACAAAATACCTACTTCATATACATCAAAGCTGACCTTCAGCCTTTCAGACTGATGGACACATCAGCGAGAGATCTCCTCCACTTCAGCAGAAAGATCTACTACACTTAATTCCATGTAACATTTTCAATATTAAGAAGAACGTGCTTTTTAAAGTTAAATTTAAGTAAAGTTAAGTTACCTTAAGTTCCAGCCTTGTTGTATTAGCCTGGCATCTGTAGGTGGCAAGCAGGAAATTTCCATTTGGCTATTGAGGAAAATGTGCAAACAGAAATCTTGTTGTAAACCCATGTTAGGCCCAGGTTCCTTATTACAGTACTGTGTTTGCTTTGTGGTGCATCATAAATGATGAAGACTTGGTAGTACTTTACCTCTGAATCACATTCACTGAAGCTAACCACTGCTGAGTTTTTATCCACATCAAGGAGGTCTATTGGAACATCACTCTGTTAAAAGAAACAATCACAATATTACAGTACAAAAAGATGCAGATAATCTATAAATGTTTAAAATTAAGATATTTAAGATATTTAAAATGTTACTACCATAAAACTTGTGCTCTTTACTAAAATAAAGTTTTGTTTTCTGAGAGCGCTGACCTGTAGCAGCAGGTTGTCAATGGCAGTCTGAACCTCCAGCGTGAGGCTGTAGCTGGCATCGTCCTGGCAGAGAGTGAACCTGTCATTGATGCTGAAGACGGGCACTGCGGACACAGCTGTGCTGGACTGAGAGCTCTGTTGGTACTTCTCCCGACCCTGCATTACCTTCACCTGCAGCTGCTCCAACTCTGCCCTGCAAACACACGTCACGACACAACATTAGATATGAGGGATGTAAAAATGTATGCAAGGTGATTCAGATGCATGGATTTTGTAAGAATTGATTTGAACTGACTATAATAACATTTGAGAAAGTATGCACTCACTCATTGTTGCTAAATAAAATTGTTGTATTTGCCTATATTCCACTAAGGTCACTGAATTTGTAACATTTTAATAACACGGGGTTGCCCCTGTAAGTCCTTGCTGTTTGAATCCACCATACTGAATAGCACTGTGTAAGAGCTGTAAAAGGCCTGATTATGAAATAGCTTAGGATTGTCTCTCTGTACCTGAGAGCAGCCACTTTGGCCTGGGTCTCTCGGCTCATCTTCACCTCATCCCCTGGCCCCGCCTCCATCTGCTGCGGCTCTGTGGTGAGGCCTGACACCCAACCTAGAAATGTCACATCAGGAACAAGAAGGGAGGTTTTAGCTTAATTAGCTTAAATACGCTAAATTAGCTTAAATGGTCAATAAAAACAAATTAACATGTATGACAGAATGTATTGTGTATTCTAGCTGTCAAAACGCCCATCTGTGCAGCTCTAAGCTTTAGAAACACAACTGTGCTATACACAGCTACACAAATAAATCAGTTATGTGAATCTGTATCTAAGGCAAAAAACATGGAGTCTCTGACCTGTGTAGGTCGTTGTTAGAACCTCATCATATGACTCCTTTCCTACGCAGCCCCCCTGGATTGATGTGACACTCTCAGACAAAACCTTGTGAACACAAAACAGTGATCATACAAAATCAGCAGCAACATTTGAATCAGCAGGTAGCATTAACACGTTGTAAACACAGATTTCAATGTTTCCATTTCCTCGTCACACATACATTCTCAAAACGGAGTGTGGGTTCACTGGAGCTGTCCAATCCATACACCTCTACTGTCCCGTCATCCCTGCCAACTAGAATGTCTTTCACACCATCACCCAGAATGTCAAATGTATCGATGCACAGCACCCCTTGAAAAGACAAGGATAAGAAAACAGTCAAGTCCTGGTTGCAAACCATCTATGGCTACCGATTTAAAAAATGTACACAGGATCATTTCCTACCTCCTTTTTTCTTCTCATTGTCCACCTCCCATCTGGAGACTGGAGCTGAACTGGTTAAGTGGACAAGTCCCAATTTTCCATCAGCTGTTCCATAAAGCACCTCTTCCCCATTCTTACCTAGACATAAAAGAGATATCGACAAAACAAGAGCCTTTAAACTATATAGAAACATTTCCAACATTCATATTTAGACATGATTTCGTAAAGTTTTTAATTTTTCTACTTCAGGCATAGAATTTACTACTTACCTCCATCTCTGTTGTGAAGCTCCAGAACAGATGGGGGTCCAGGGACTTCAAAATCATACAACAGCTCAGAGCCCTTTAAGGAATATGATGTATGATGCAGAGTGAATAACTAAAGTTATAAAATAAGGTACTAATTTACTAATAAATTTACAAATAACACAATTTGGCCCTTCACAAAGTTGCTCAGGTCCTGACATATGTCCATTTCTCTCGCATTTAACACATCGACAATAGAACCGAATGTTTGCTTTCTGTCTAATATATCCCAGACCATGATCTATACGCAATAAATGTAGCATTACCTGTAATATACGAAGGACTCTGTCCTGACAGGCAAGGACAGGCACCGTACGACCCACTGTTTCCACAGGTAAACAAACTATGTCGTTGATTTTGTCTCCTGACAGGTAATAGTCCTGGTCTTTGCAGTCACAGTAGTGGTTGTAAATGTAGCTGGCACACACAAAAAGGTCTGCCCCAGAAACATGCCTACCAACAGTATTTAAATTTTAACATTCAAGACCTATGATTCATTAACAACAGCATAGGATGCAGAAATAAAAACTCACATAGCATTGATGCTCTCAGTCAGATTGGCCTCAAAAGAGAGAAACTGTTTTCCCTTTTTGGTGTAGCCCCTGACCTCAGAGCCAGAACACACAAAGATCTTCTCCTGTGGTGTGCCCAAAGCACCTCCCAGCTCCAGTCTGGAGATCTTCTGCCCGGGGAGACTTTTGAAAACAGGCTGGACAAAGAACATACATGCAGGTCCATCTTATTTCATCTCAGCTCAACAGTGGTAGGTGGTGAAAAGAATTATCATTCTAACTGAGGATTTAGATGGAGAAAGTGCATGAAAGAGAATAACGTTTTTAATACGCACAACTGCCTCGCCCTTTTTCATCCCGAAACAGTTTACTACACCATCATGATCTGCAACAGCAACCTGGATTGAAATAAAACGCAGCAATTAAAAGAGGGAATTCAAACCGATATGTCTGCAACATTAGTCATTCAGAGTGGTTTATGTGTGAAGCATCTTTGCAGAGAAAGTCAGAATTTTAATTGGAAACAGACGTCTGCCTCTAAAAGCTATCTCACAGAAAATTATTACATGAAATCGTTACAAATACGCTACCTAATGCCTGAGGCATTGTTTTATGACGGTTTTGTCCTTATTATATTTTTATTTTCCCCTATTCCCTTATCCCCATATATTTATTTCAATCTGTTCATGGTGCAGGGGTACATGCAAGGTGTTGATAGGTAAAACAGTCCCCGAAGAAAACCTATTTTTCCAGATTTAGAACTATTTTACCATCATCAACTTTCACATATAAAAACTCAGAAGTGACATACAGATTCACTGGTAGGTTTGCACGTTAAATAAAATGGCTACAATTGCTTAGATGTTGCGACCCCAGGTTCCTATCACCACCACTGTAAAAAACAATAATCAAACTGGGAAGTTTCTCTACAATGAACTATTTCATCTTAATAAAACTGCTTAATAAAACCACCTTTTGTGTTGCTTTTCGTCCCACTGCAGGCAGAAGTTTCATCGTTTTCTGAGACGTCACTCCAACCTCGGAAGACCAACAAGGAAAAAGGAAAAACAACTTCTGCTCAGCATTCCTGTTAATGTACTGTCTGTTTAGTTCATTACTAGCTTTGTATTCTGCACTCTTTAAAAATATGGTTTTTCAAGGGGTCTTTAGTAAAACGAATGAGTTCTATATACAACCATTCCACGCTTAAATGGTTCTTTGTATGGAAAATGTGTTGTATATGGTTCTATTTAAGCCCTTTTTGAAAACGGATCTATAAAGCACCCAAAAGGGTTCTGCTGTTGTTGCAATGTCAAGCTTGTTAACAGACAGTGGATCTCTTCGTGCTATACAGAACCAAACACAACATTCTCCATTAATCTGAAGAACTATTTCACCATGCAAAGAGACATTTAAGCATGCAAATCGTTCTACATAGAACTCAAATAGAACCATTCCCTTTACTAAAGAACCATCTTTTTTAAGGGTGCAAACGAACTGAACCTACTTGTTATGAGCACAAAAACATTATAAAATATGTATAAACCAAAGCAGATAACCTACTAGTTTTGTGTAGAAAAAGAGTATTCTTACCTGGAGGTAATCAACATGGTTTAAACTGAGCTCCATCTTCTCTGCTCTGATCACAGATGTAGATCTCAGTTCGTGAATAAATCACTAAGCTAGCTTTTTTACCTGCGACTCCACAACACTGTTTTACTGCGGCTCGATGCTAAATTCATGCATCTGTTGTTTCCAAGAACATAAGCGACGGCGTTTTTGACGGAGTAAGATGGAAAGGATCCTCAGTGAGTGGATTAGCTCAGGGATTAACTGCTGCTGCTGACTCTTCTCGTCTTTTAGCCAGCTAGCTAACTAACCGAACTACCTTCGCATGCTAACGGGATTTCTCCCTTACAAGAGAGCTAAAGCGACGAGCTAGATTTAATTAGGATTTGTTAAAGATGACACTCATTTGTATGTGACTTTTCGAGGCCACAAACCCGGAAAGAAAGTCGACTTCTTAGAAAATAAATACACTTCTAGCAAAGCTAGCTAGCTAACTTGCTTTCTCAGACGCGCCATGTTTGGACGCACTGACGCATCCGGGGTTTCCATGGAGACGCCTTGCACGCGCTTCTTCGAATGAATGAATGAATGAATAAATAAATACGTAAATAATAAAAATTATGGAAAATAAACGATTATTATGTATTTGATAATATGCGTATTTTATTACAGGTTTAATAAAAATATATACACAAGGAGTACAAAGGGGAACTCCACCAATTTTTCAAAATTTCTGCATCAACCAGTGGTTGCAATGTAAACTGTCATTCAGAGCGGTTTGACGTGAAATGGTTAATTATAGAGAAAATTACAGTCTCAGATTTTTTTGCAATGGTGGTGCTAGAAACCAGGGGTCCCGATGTCTACAACACAAATATAACCATTTTATTCACTGTCCAAAACCAGCAGTGAGCCTACATGAGTTTTCTGAGTTTTTACATGTAATGTTGATGATGGTAAAGTAATGTTTTAGGCCAAAAATAAGTCATAAATCTGAAAAATAAGTTTTCTTTGGGGATTCTTTTGCCCTGCATGTGTTTCTCTGTATTGATTGGGTTAAAATAAATAAATTTAAATACATTTAAAGCTAAAATATTATCACAAAACTAAAATAAAATGCTCACAAATCAGGCTGAGTATTTAAAGCCATTTTATGTTGTTATTTTCAGTGAGGGAGCTTTTAGAGGCAATTAAGACTTCATCACCACCACTGTAAACAATTCAGACTCCCTAAAACAAAGCATTTCAAATCAAACCACTCTGAATGTTTTTGGTAACATGTTAACCATTTAATTATGCAGAAATTTTGAAAAATCGGTGGAGTTCCCCTTTAATGACTTTTATAGGAATATTTAGCCTAATTATAGGCAAATTAATGCAACGGAGCATACAAAGCCTTCATTATCATGCATATTAGCATCAATAAGGACAAAATGTTTTCTTACAGACAAAAAGCCTTTATCTGGCCTTGATGGTGCCGGGAACGTTTTGTCAGTTCTGATAGTGCATCAAACTCATGCGTGACGAAAGAGTCTATCAGATTCGGCTGAGCTCAGTGGCTCACTAATAAAGCACTAAGATAGCTGTTTTGATATTCATTATATTCTCCCTCTGCAAGTTGAGGCTTGATCTGATGGAGAATAAACATGTGCATGTGCGCACGTGTGTGTGTGTGTGTGTGTGCGCACTTTCCCTGGCTGAGAAGTCAGGGCAATGAATGTCCTTCAGCACCAGGGGAGGGGTCAGCACTCAGCAACTGCAGAGAGAGCTTTGGAAAAGCAGTCTCATTCTGGTAGCAGCAGAGGAGACGCAAGACGTGCCACCTCGAGGAGAAGAAGTCAGGGAGAGATTCAAGCAGGGAGGACCAATATGGAGATGGTTCCAGATACTAAAACCTAGAATGGCTTTCTTTGGAGGAACCCCGTGAAGAACCAGGGCTTCTGCGTTCAAGTCTGTGGAACCTGATGCCTGCCCCAAAGAGGTTCCTGGTGGCTTCCACCTCTATGCCTCTTGCGGTGGGATGGGGCTGGAACTTGAGTGTGTATCTGGGGATTCTCATGCTCCTGCTGCTGATGATGGGGCTCCTGCTGTGGATGGTACTGAAGCAGCTGAGGAACTCAGTGGGTAACAGTGCCCTGCACCCCTGTCGATCTTTCAGAGAGCCACACTTCGGACCCTGCAGGAGACGTGATTTCTGAGACGCAGAAAAAGCCATGGATTGTTATTATTACTGGAAATAAACTGGCCTCCTCATGGAGTTCTCTTCAGTTACTGTCCAATAAGTGGGCAGTCAGAGTGGACTGTGGCCCTGAGACTGAAACCCAAGAGGCAAGTCCTGAGTGGGCAAGACTTTGAAACTGACTAGCAGGAATTTCATTCAGTTTGTGAGGGTGTAATAATTCATGTAATAATAACTTCTTAAATTAACATGTTTATGTAACAGCACATTCCTTTTTAAATCTCCAAAGACAGAATAGAGCTTTAAATGGGCTTTAATTTAGTAGCCTTTGCTTTTTACATGCTTTAATTCATTGCTTAAGCATTCGTACATAGTTGTTAATTAAAGGGGTTTTCCAGCAGTTTTTCAAAACTTCTGGATAATTTAGGTTTTGAGATGTTAATAGAGTCATTCAGAGGTAACTTTCTGTGAAGGGATTTCAGAGGCATAATAACTCTTCAGATGTCTGGTTCCTATCACCACCACTGTGAGCAGTTATGACTCTGCAATTTCTCTAGGATGGAGCATTTCACATCGAACCACTCTGAGTGGCTTTGTTTACGCCTCAACCGTTTAATCATGTAGAATTTTTGAAAAATCGGTGGAGTTCCCCTTTAACAGTTTATCTGCCCTAATGAACCTCACAATTAAATAGGCTCTCTTTACTGACTTGGAAATTAAAGTTCCTTTAGAAATAGCCAAAAATCTGTACTTATATTTATAATCAGGACTCAGGAAGGTAAGAATGGACTTTTCTCTCCTTCCATGTGTCCTGTGTTGGGATATGTATTTACATTGAGCAAAGAGTTAGTGTGGACACATGATGAAATCTATTTCTAAGGCTGTAAACATCCTGTAATCATGCTTAAAACCAATAATTCATAAAGCAAAAAACTTTTTTATTATAGTACACCACATGGTGAGCAGCAGCAAAGTAATACAGTGTCATGATAACAGAATGAGTCCATTGAAAGGACATTATAGATTTACAGTTCTACCTGTTTGCCAGTAAATATTTAACAGTGATAATGGATTATCTTCAATTATTAGTTCAAAATTCATTTTCTGGAATGTAATCCATATTGTAACGCATGTTAATCACCCTGTACAATAAAACAGCAGTGTTTACACAGTCTTTGCAGCCATCACTCTCTGCTTGTCTTCCTGGTAATGCTGGGAATCCTGCAGATCTGGTAGCCCACAACAACAACAAAGCACCCAAACTTGATTTCTTCTCATCTAATTAAGTCAAAGAGGCCAGAATATCATTCATGTCAAAGGCAGATGTTCCTGGAAGGGAGATCAATGGATGGCTGTGCCAAGAGGTCAGAGGTTAATGAGTCTTCATTTGTCAGGGCTTCTCTGCTTTAGCCACCCATGACCAAAGACAAGCTATTTTCACCTGTTCAACACAGACAGGTCATTATATAGTCTCCTCACAATCAGACCTATGATGTTGTATAATAGCGAAATGCTTTGGTTCTTCTTCAGCCTCCTCAGTCTCGAAACTTGACACTTTAAAAACAAATAAAGTTTTGTCATGAAACATGTTCTCTGCTGTGTACTAAAGGGCATAATATGTGAATTATTATTATTATTATTTTTATTCTTTTTTCCTGGGAAACATAATATTCACTGTCCAGTAAACTGGAAAGTTACAAATTGGTGGCTAAAATGTGTAATTTTTTAACCCCTTAAAATCCCAGGTTTATTATATACTAAGGCTTATTGTTCAGTAAGTAAAATACAGCTTCAATACAAACTGGCTGAGCTACTTTTAGGTTCTAGAAGTGTGTAATAAAACGTTGGGCCTGCCAGTGGGCTCTGGGCACTTAAGGGGTTAATGAACATATTTATTATTATTATATAACATTTCTGAAACACAAGAAATGTTTTTTTTATTTGGGTCTTTTATACAGATGAGGCCTAATTCCAATGTTCAGCATACTGAACAGTGAAACCCACTGAAATCTATAAAAACAAACCCCAAGTTCATAGAACATCATCTACTGACACTCCTTAATAAACATAAGATTCTACTTTTAACACAATAAACAACATTGAAAAATTGCATTTTTAATGCCTGTGTCTATTACATTAATAACATCCAAACGTTCCAGATTACTGGACGTTAAACTTAATCTCAAAATGTAACTCATATTTTTTTACCTTTCACTTCTAGAAGGACATGAAGAAATAAACACAGGATCATTCAGAAACAGTGTGTCGTTTGGCTTTGGAGGTGGTAAGTGTCTGTCTCATAAGCTGCCATGTTTGTTTTTGTTCATTACAAGATCAGAAAAGAAAACTCTATTAAAAGATCAACCAGTACAAAGACTGAGTTCTGTAGAAACACATACGAGTGAGTGTGCTGACATATTTGCTTCTGTAGAGCTGGAATGCCTGGGAAAATATCTCCAGTATACTGAGCATTTGGAGTGATGAGGTTAAACCTCTTCTTAATCCTCCATCCTAGTCCACAAATAGGAGCCCTCAGACCAGGACTGCAGGCTACAATGAAAATCCACAAAAAAATCAATGAAATTCTCATTCTTTAATTAGTTGCATTCACTGTTCATGATTTCATTAATATAAGGTGCCATAAGGCCTTCTGGGTGGGTTGGGGTGCCATTTATCTTTAAATCCATAACACTTAAAAAATAAACTTCATTTTTCAAAACTGATTCTAAGTAAACATACATTTAGCCATTTAAATGTGTGGCAACCAATCTCAGAAACAATATCCTTTCTTTTATAAGGTTTCTTTGCTGATAAGCTTAAATGAGCCACAGGGTTGACAGTAAAATAGTGAGCATAGAATTAGCAAATGCACAATGTTACAATGTTGTTAACTGGCATCTATGCGAATGGAATGATGAAATTAGGATGAAATGACTAACCTAACTTAAAATTACTTTTTAAATTAATAATTTACTTTCCATTTACAGTGCCAAAGTTTGGGTGCCCCTGTTCAAATTACATGTTTTATTTATTTAAGTGAAAATAAGTTAACACATCATCAACAGAGAACACACTTCTGCACATTTTAATGCACAATTACACAATGAACACACTGGGGAAAAATTACGACATAAAATGTGGCCTATATAAAGTTATGGCATATGATAAACTCAAAGCAAATAAATAGAAATTCTGCATTAAAATTAGCAAAAAAAAAATAAAAAAATCCATATTTACTTTCCTGTAAAGATTGTGTAAAGTTATTTTCCTGTAAATTTTGTAAAATAAAACATATAATTTGACCAAGGGTGCCCAAAATTTTGCATATGACATAA